CTCTGTGCCAAGACCATATTTCCTGGCCCCTCAACCCTCATCCTCCCATTTTAAGTATTTGTCAAAGGTGGTTCAAATAAAGTCTCTTGCCTTCCTCAACCTTTACTTTAGATAAAACTTGTTGAACTTTACATGAAGCTGATTGCTGAGCATTCAACTCAAGTGCTGCGTATTGGCTTGGGGCAGCCAGGTGGCCCAGCTGGGCCTGGAGTCAGGAAGATTTCTCTTGTGAGTTCAAATCTGGCCTGACACTTACTAGCTGTGTGATCCTGGGCTTCCCTATTTCCTCATCTGTAAAGCTGGAGAAGAGAATGGCAAACCACTCCAGTATCTTTGTCAAGAAAACACTAAATGGGATCATGAAGAGTTGGATATGACTGAGAAACAACTCAAAAAAAAGTTCAAACTCCTTTATCTGGTATTCAAGGCCCTTAATATTCTGATATTTTCCTTTCATTTTTCTTTCCTTCCTTCCTTTTCTTCTCTCTTCTTTCCTTCCATGTACTCTATGCTATAGGCAAACCTGACCACTTTCTATCCCCCAAATATGCCCTGCATTCTTCCATTTCCATTCTTTTGTTCATTCTGTTCTCTATGCTTAGAATGTCCTTTCTCTCCCTGTCTGGTGAATTCCTAATCAATCTTTTTTTAAAATCATTAACTTATTTTTACTTTTCAACATTCACTTCCATAAGATTTAGAGTTTTAAGTTTTCTGCGCATCCCTATCCTACCTCCTCCCCAAGAGGGCATGCAATCTGATACAGGCTCTACTTACACAGTCATATTAAGCATATTTTCACATTAGTCATGATGTAAAGAAGAATTAGAACAAATTAAAATGAAAATTCCTCTCAAAGAGGTACCACAAGAAAGAAGAAATAAAACTAAACAACAAAAGAAAAGGAGATCAAATAGTATGCTTCCATATGCATTCAGGTTCCATAGTTCTTTCTCTGGATGTGGATAGCAATTTTCATCATGAATCTTTTGGAGTTGTCTTGGATCCTTGCATTGCTAAGAAGAGTTAAGTCTCTCAAAGTCAGTCATCACACAATGAGGCTGTTACCGTGTACAATGTTCTCCTGGTTCTGCTCATTTCACTCAACATCAGCTGATATGTCTTTCCAGATTTTTCTGAAGTCTGCCTGCTCATTATTTCTTATAGCACAGTAGTATTCCATTACATTCACAGACCACAACTTGTTCAGCCATTTCCCAATTGATGATTTCCAATTTCCAATACTTTGTTACCACAAAAAGAGTTGCTATAAATATATTTGCACATGTGGGTCCTTTTCCCCTTTTTATGATCTCTTTGGGATACAGACCTAGAAGTGGTATTGCTGGGTCAAAGGGTATGCACAATTTTATAGTTCTTTGGGTATAGTTTCAAATTGCTCTCCAGAATGCTTAGGTCAGTTCACAACTCCACCAACAATGCATTAGTGTTCCAATTTTCCCACATCTTTTCCAACATTTATCATTTTCCTGTTTTGTCATATGAGCCAATCTGATAGGTGTGATATGGTACCTCAGATTTGTTTTGATTTGCATTTTTCTAATCCATAGTGATTTAGAGCATTTTTCATATGGCTATAGATAACTTTAATTTCTTCCTCTGAAAAGAGCCTGTTTATATCCTTTGACCATTTACCATTCTTTAATGATCTACTCAAATTCCACCTCTTCTAGGAAGCCTTTCCTGATTTGCCTAATTGATGACAATTCTTCCCATCTCTCAGATCTCATAAGCACTTTGCTTTGCATTCTGTAATCCATTTATTATGCAATGTGTACAACACTGTATATTACAATTATACAAATATTTCTGTCTTACCTGCTTACTAGACTATAAACTCCATGACATCATAGGGTCTCTTGTCTTACCTAAAAATTTTATCTCCTTAGTAGGTGGTACCCACAGGGAAGTGCTAATTGAATTAATGAAATGAATTACGAGATAATTTTTTACAAAGTAGTGCCTAGCACATAGTAGGTGCTATATAAATGCTTATTTCTTCCCCTGCTTCCCTTATGGCAGTACATTGAAAGAGCACCCTATGAACATGTTACTCCTCATGTCACTGAATTACCTATCACATTTTCCTTAAGTATGAACTGAATTTGTCTGGACAAGGACTGGAGACTGGTATCTCTTGTGGTGGCAGAGCCTTCCTTTGCTGTTTCATTACATCTCCCTCAAAGCCAGCACAGAAGGATCCACTCCTATAGATGTTTAGTCTGACTTGGATGTGACTGAACTGAGGGGTCCACTACTAGCGTCCAGTCTGGGTGACAGCGGATAACTTCTTCTGGGCTTGTAAGCGACACCAGGTTGTGGCTGAGAGCTTGGAAATTCAGCACATCAATCCTGTTATTGTAATTTTCCACTGAGGCACTCAGACACTCTCACCTAGGGATACCCAGTGAGAAAGCAACAGAACCAGGCTCCCTGCCATATTTCTTAGAGGGTCTGAAGTTCTGACTGACTCATAGAGTCACCATCTAGCTTTCTTTCTTTACAGACAGCAGAAACAGAACAGACTGATATCACGGGTCATTTGTGATTTGCTCCTGGGGAGCAGGAGGGCTTGGATCTACCTCTAAGACTTATTACTCCCTAGAGAACCTTGGGCAAATCACTCAATCTCCATGGTTCTCAGTTTGCTCAGTACAGTGCCTGGCACATAGTAGGCACCTAATAAATGTTTATTGACTGACTCATCTGTAAAATGACGTGGTTGGGCTACAGGGCCTCCAAGGTCCTCTATGATCCTACAAAGGCATTTCAAGGTTAAGATGGTACCTGCATTGATATCCTGAAAACAAAGCCTTTTGAGTCTCTGGATCAGCCATCAGCTTTTGTCTCATTTCTCTGATTTCATGATTTCTGTTTTAGCATAAGTATTCAAATCTATTTCTTATCTGTGTGAACAGAATAATATGTGGCTGCTCAGAGTTTATCTAGGGGAACAAGTTTCTCTTTATGGGGGTTGGCAGAATGCAAAACTTTCAATACATGTTTGCAAGTGCTATTTGGACAAGAGATTTATTTTGAACCTGACAGCTTCAGGAATCTCCACATATCTACTTGACTTTAAAATGACTGGCTTGATCATAGTCAAGTAATGAAAAGGAAGAGAAGAGAAGGGAATAAACATTATGGTGCCTACTATATGGCAGGTACTATGCTAAAAAGCATTACAAATATCATTCTCATTTGACCCTCGCAAGAACTCTGTGAAGCAGGCACTATTATGATCCTTATTTTACAGTCGAGGAAACTTAGGCAGGCAGAGGTTAAGTGATTTGCTCAGTATCACACAGTATATATCTGAGACTGAATATCAACATAGGTCTTCCTGACTTCAAGCCAAGTGCTCCATCCACTGTACCACCAACTGCTTCTAATAATAATGATCACAGTGTATTTTTTAGGCAAAGGTGACTAGGCATTTCCCAAACTTTTGCTAATTAATAATATTATACCATGTTAATAGGGACAATGAATTTCCAGGTGAACAAACTCCCTCTACCAATGCAAGTCAGTTAGTACCTTCTCTGCAACTTAAGTCTTTTTTTTTCAACTTAATAGTCTTAGAGAAGTTAAATGACTTGTCCACGGTGACACAACCAGTATTAGGTGAAGGCCAGACTTGAATCCTCTCTGTTTCTTATACCATTCTGTCTTACTACATTTATACCCAACTTAATTCAGTGAACTAAAGACAGGAGGTCATCGTCTGTCTTCTAGCAAAGACTCAAGTACTTAATACATTTTGGTATTTCACCAAAACTTTGAAACAGAGAGGTGGCATCTGTCTCCTACCTATACTAGAGAAGTATGATAACCTTTCCAAGTGGCTTTAACATCCACTATTATATCTTGTAAAGAAGTCCAGGGGCAGCTAGGTGGTGCAGTGGATAGAGCTCTAGCCTTGGAGTCAGGAGGACTTGACTTCAAATACGACCTCAGACACATAACACTTACTAGCTGTGTGACTCTGCGCAAGTCACTTAACCCCAATTGCCTCAGCAAAAACAAAAAGTCGTCCCGAAACTTTTTGGTGTGTGAGTGGGTACACAGACACGAAGACAATACACACAGATCATTGTTGTTGTTTTTAAAATATATTTTAACTGACTCATTCTATACTTTCAGTAGGCTGGCATGGATTCACTTGCTCTGGTCAAAAAAACAAATGTCTAATTCCAAAACTTACATAATATCATTTTCATCCTTAAAATAGATGCGTACTGAAAGCACAAAGAAAACATAAAGAGCTGTACCTTCCTGCTAGAATTAAAAATACAAGTGCGTCTCGCTTTGCATGACATATGAGCTCCTGAAAAAAGTTACACGTACATCCAACCTCTATAAAACAAAATCATATTTCAAACGCAATAGGAAAGAGGAATCGATCCTATGGTGAATCTTTTGTAAAGCAAATAAGTACCTCTGCATCAACTACTTAGGATAAATCTGGATTTTCTCTCTTGAGCTTAGTTAAAACTGAGTACCCCTACAGAATAGTCTATTGCAGCCAGCATAGAATTAAGTGGAGTTTTGCATGTGAAAGTAATGAAGGAAAATTATAGCAACTGTGGGGTGGACTTAATAAACATGCAGGTTGTCACTGTTTCAACCAAATCTTGAAGGTGCTTCCAGAGTTAAATCTTTTTTATTACGGGCGCGAAGTGGGGTTGAGATATGAGCTGCTGTGCCATAGATATTGCTACAAATCTCTTCAAAGAGATGCAAAGCACAGAAACAGAAGAGATTTCTCCTTTTGTGATCCATATTTCCAATCATATTGGAGTTAAAGGAACCATAAACTACATAGTCTTTTTCTCTCTCTCTCCTAAATTAAAGCTCTTAGAATACGTTCGTTAAAATGCATTGTGGGCTTTTATTATTTTTTTTCTCATTGCCAGAGGAAGCATTCTTATGCTTTCTTTTATTTAGTTTTCAAAAAAGAAACTGGAAAAAAAACTTACATGTAATTTTTCTAGGTCCTGTGCTGGCTTAAAGTCTTATGATGCAGGGAACTGGATGAATGGAGAAATGAGAAGGCTACAGCAATCCATTCAGACATGGACCCCCAAAGCTTTGTGGCGCAAACTGATGATGAATCAATGCATCTCCACCTAATTGGGGAGGGAAAAATCACTGATTAGCAGAATGAAACCTTCTCTCATTTCCCCCGTTCACATGTGTGGTATTTTAACCAGCTCAAAGTCAGTCAAACTAGAGCCTCAGTTAAAAACAATATTAATAATTCACATTTATACAGTCCTTTAGAGAAGCAGCATGGTGGTATAGTGGATAGGAAGCTGGACTTGCAGTTAGGGCATTCTTAGTTCAAACCCTGTCTCAGACCACTTATAAGCTGTGTGACCATGGCAAATTAACAACCTTTCTGAGGCTCTGACAGCCCTCTAAGGCTTACTTCCTAAGGGTTCTCTTTGCACTGAGGCAATAACAGATCCTTAATTTATTAATATAACACTTTCTGGTTTCTTAACAACAACCCTGTAAGGAACATACAGTGGGTAGAATATTATGATCCCCATCTATATAGGATGAGGAAACAGGCTCTGAAAGGTTAAGTGACTTGTTCATGATCATGTGGATTCTGAGTGTTTGGGGGCTAGTTTTTAATGAGATTACAAAATCTGAGGGAAGTTTCTAAAGAAGCTTCCATCATCCAAGTAAGTACTCACTAGAAGCTAGCAGAAGCATCAGAGAAATAGAATGTCTGAACAGTTAAGGTGTTCCATCCTTTGTGACTTTAAGTGCTAACTCTTAGCAAGTCTGAATAGCTCCTGGTGAAAAAGGTGCGTGATGCCATAAGAAGAAAAAAGTCAGAGGGCATAACTCAAAGGATTATCTCTTCTCTGATTCTGTTTTAAATCTCAGAACTGACTTCTTTCTGTTCAATGTTCTCATTTTAAAGAGTCCCACTATAAAATACTCCCAGAGCCAATTATAAACAGGTGACCCACAGACAATAAGCTAAAAATGACAACCCTTTCATTTTTCAGTTACAACCTTTTCATTCTATTCTAATATTGTCAAATTTAACTTAAATGTCTTTAAAGGGTTTGATGGCTTGAATTTGTTCTCTGCTCTTCAATCCTGAAGAGTTCCAGGATAGAGTCAAGTGCAAGTTGGCATGACTTTTTTTCCTACCTCAACTTACTTAATGGTAATGGAAATCAAGATGATTGAAATTCAAATAATTATACTTATGTAGCACTTATAAACTATACTGAGTAAATAGTGAATAATGGACTTGGAATCAGAGGGAATAGGTTCAAATCCTGCCCCTGCCACTTACTATTTATGTGACTTTTAATAAAAAACTTAAATCTTTCTGGGCCTCTGTTTCCTTACCAATAAAATTTGAGGCCAGCCTCAGGTTTACTCTAGAAGAATGTTTTTCTGTAATATATGTGATAGGAAAGAAAAAGTCTAATTAGACTTCTTTTATGTTAAATTCTTTATGCAGAGAGTACCTTGCAGATGAATACTAAAGTTTTGTCTAGCAAGGCAGGCTAAAGATGATAATCGTACTGAACTTGTGATTTTATTGATATAGGGAATTTTCCCAATGAAGAAACTCTCTTCACTGAAGTAGATCAGCAACTGCTCTGCAATTTATAGTCTTAGAAAGCTAACTGTAGCCTTGAGAGTTTGAGAAACTTGCCAAGGGTCACACAAGTCAGGATGTATTCGTGGTCTGTACTTAAAATCAGCTCTTTCTGATTCCAAGGTCAGCCCTTTATCCCTTATGTCATGCTGCTCCTCAAAAAATACAATGAAGAGTTGAAAACAAGACCTAATTAAATTCAACAAATATTGAGGATTCCCATGTTCTAGAGATGGAGCTAAGTGCTATAAGGGATGTAACAATGAGTGAGATATTCCCATATCCTTCCGTGAAACTGAAAATGTCTAAATCTTTTTACCCTGGACCACTCTATCCTTTACATCCTGAGGGCAGTAACTCTCATGGGTTCACTTGGAAAGTTTATGGATATGAAAAACAGGGAAGAAAGAGAGGGAGAGATGTTACTTCATAAGTAACCTATTATAGAAAACAAAACTGGAGAATTGCATGAGAGGTATGAACAAAGTGTTATGAGAGAGAAGAGGGAGGGTCAGTTCTCATAAAGGGGTCCAAGGCATGCTTCTAGGAAGAGGGCATTTGGATTTCAATAGGAAGAGATGTTGGAGGAAAGTCATTTGGTGTTTAAGAAAAAGAATGAACAAAAGCTTGTTGAATGAACAAAGGTTGGAAAATAGGGTCATGTATTTAGGGTGGATTTGGTATAAAAAAAAAAACAAAATAACAAAACTGCTATTAACTACTGCCTATCTGTGGACCAGAATTTGGGAAATAATATTATAAAGGTAATTGGACCTGGGTTCAGAAGACTTGAGATCCCATTCTTCAATGTAATTAACCTTATGACCTTGGCCAAGTCACTTCCTAACCTCTCTGATCCTCAGTTTCTTCATCTGTAAATGAGAAGGTTTGATTAGATGAGTTCTAAGGTTCCTTCCAACTCTAAATCTTACTATTCTCTCCTAGCTTTTACTTGGGCTACTGAGTTGTAAACCATAAAACTCCATATATGTGAGTTATCATCATTATCAACAATAGCAGTACTAGTAACAATAATGATGCTAAACACAGTACTGTACTAACAGTACTACAGAATCTAAGTGCCATGTGAACAATATTTCTTGGGAAAAATGTATTCAGAATTCTGATTTGGGATGTCAGGTTTAAGTCTCTCTCCACTGCAAGTGATCCACAGAGGTTCTAGCAAAGTGGATAGGAGGGCTGGATGCTTTCCAATGAATTGAGAGAGTGGCTTCAGGAGTGAGGGCCAGGGCTTCTTAGCTCTAGTATGACTCCCAGATTGACACCTTTCCTTCCTTTAGCTGGTCACTGTCACTGGACTCACCTACTTTCCTCTTTACTATCCTCTATTCCCCTAAGTTAACCTTCCTCTTCTGGGAAGCCTAGAGACTAAAAAAATGTCTTACAGTTTTTCCCCTATAACAGAAACAACCATATAAGACCTCTGGGGTTTTCTAAGGTTTTTCAAATTTGTTAACAATAAGAAACAGAGAACCACTAAACAAACAACTCTGAAAAAGTTATCCCCATTCCCTTTTCACTTGGCATTCCTAGGGAAAGACAGAAGACACAAAGGCGATACAGGTGAGTATCTGGAAAAAAGCTCGAGTGAGATTTATCTACTGCCCAAAGAAAGCTCTAGGGTTAATCCTGCTGATTCTGGGTGTTTTGTTCCAGAACGAGAAAGGGAAATGGCATGAATTGAGGTGAGACAGGAAGGTGAGTTCCTGTAGTCATCTGGCTGGGAGAGTTATCCCCTGGCCACTTTTTGTCTTAAAAGGGGTGTGTGTGTGTGTGTGTGTGTGTGTGTGTGTGTGTGTACGTACACATATAGTTGGTCAAGGTCTACCTGTATATAAAATAACTTATCAAAACACCAGCCCCAGTACTGGCTGCTTTTGCTTACCTGGCAATTAAAATATCTGCACAGAAAATAGTGATTTCTAAAGTACTTCACAAGTCTGTTCTCAAGACAAGGCATAAAGTTATACAAAGTTTCATTTTTGCCATTGAATTGTTTAATAAACAAATACAGCTAAGGTATTTTCAGGTTAGGGTGCCCCCCACCCAAATCAGCAGACTATCCAAACTTAAGAAGTCCATACTACTGAGGTTTTATTATATATGAAGGATTTTCACAGAGAACACGGTAACCAGCTCTATAACCACTGAGGATAGGTCGAGGAGAAATGAGATGAATGTAAATCTCCTATCAAGCCATGGTGCCTTTACAAAATGTGCACATTGAGCCACCTCCTAAATCAGAATGGGTCAAACATGGATACACCTCACTAGGGAGTGTATGTGTGACACTACTTGCTTACAAGTTTTCTTTACAGCAGAAAGGAAGAGGAGGCAGAAAAATGACCATGACAGGGATCTTCTATTCAACCTCACACATGCTTTAAGCACCTACTATTTGTAGAATGGGGCAGCTAGGGAGTACAATGGAGAGAGGGCTGGGTCTGAAGTCAGGAAGACCCGAGTTCAAATGTGACCTCAGATACTTAACTGTGTGACCCTGGACAAGTCACTAAACCCTATTTGCCTCAGTTTCCTCATCTGTAAAATGAGCTGGAGAAGGAAATGGCAAACCACTCTAGTATCTTTGCCAAGAAAACCCAAATGGGGTCATGAAAGGTCAGACACACAACTGAAATGACTAACCAACAACAACAAATTTGTAGAACTTCTGGAGAAGATACAAATTAAACATCCAATCAACAAGCATTTGTTAAGCATTTATTATGTGCCAGGTAGTGAGGGTAGAAATACAGAAGTGAGATAATTCCTGCCCTAAAGGAGTTTACATTATCCTAGGAAGTGGTGTAAGAGAATACTTCTTCGCAGATTAAGTAAATACAGGATTTGAGATCATTCTAAGCATGGGGCACAACCTGTACAAAACCATGGGCATTAGGAACAGCAAGTAAGCAGGTGTGCCTGAAGTAAAGAATGCGTGAGGAGAGTAATGTGTCAGCAGCCTGGAAAGAAAAGCTGGTGTCAAAATGTTAAGGGTTCTAAATGCTAAACAGAAGATTCTTTTACTCTATTCTAGTGTCAATGTGGAGGCACTGATGCATCTTGGATGGGAAAGTGACATATTTGGATGTTCATGGTATGGATGCCACTTTGGCACCTATGTGAAGGATAGATTTGATTGGGGAAACAGGGAGACTAATTAGGAAGCTACCACAAGTGTAGGGGAGAGGTGAGGAGGGTCTGATCTGGAATGTTTGTGGAATGAATGAAGAGAACAAAGACAAGAGATGTGGAGGGGGTGGAATCGGCAAGACTGCAAAGATCCACCATCAGAAATACAATCAGTTTCTGCTTATTTGTAGTCTGCTTCTGGCCTGGCAAGCATTTTATTTCCCCCCTTTTAAAAAATGCACTTGTTTCTTGGTCATTTTCCTCCTCATTAGCCTATTCAGCAGAAAGGCAGGAAAAGGGGAAAGAATGAATAAGAAATCTAATCAGACAACCTTGCTACAT